AGGGATCCCCTTTTATATGAATCTTAAACAGATACAGTTTCAGAATCACTACCTGTGCTTACAGTTGTAGAGCCACTAATGCCACTAATCAAGGCCCTTAAGCAGCTCTTACCAGCTATTAAAAGCGACTTGTTTTTTAATAATATCTCACAGAAACTGTTTCCACTCTGTTCTATCAGATATCTATGAACAATGGCCTGAACGCATATCAGGTTTCAACTAGATCTCTGGCTAAAGCTGCTTTTGATCTTCAGTTTTAGACAAAGGGCGCACTTGTTCACAATGGGCCAAAATTAGCTAAGCTGAATCTAGATTAAGCTGCCTTAAGCTAGCCTTAGCTAACCCAACCTTAAAGATATTTTAACCAAAACACCCAATTTCAAGTCTTTTAGAAGCTATAGCAAAAATATTCCTTGCTTAGATGCAAACTTAGTTAACATAATTTAACTACATATTATACATAATGATGTGTGTAAGTGTATTTAATCTTCGTCTTGCCAAGGCACGTTCTTCTCTCTTTTTGCATGCATTAGTTGACATCATAAATTGATGCTGACGTGTGCCTGGTTTGCATGGCTATTGTATTACTTGTTGTTATTCACACTCATGTAGAGTGTGTGTATCTGTGTGTGTGAGTGCGCAAAAAAGTGCGAGTTCAAAGTTGGCATCATCTATCAAGATCTTCGTAACATTAGCATAGAGTCATGCAACGAAAATAGCCGCCTGACAGGTTTCTGCGTTTGCGTTCGCCGCACTGGCAAATCGAGGGGAACTCATGGAGGGGTCGCTACACAAGGTTGTGGGCAAGAGCGGAGGGTAGTCAATGTGGGCGTGCACTCGATTGAAATCAATTTGAATAAGCTCAATTGACAATCGAACCGGTTGTTGGTGACCTGAGCACCTCTCCTGGCGCTGATAAACTATCAGCAGCACCATCTATAATTAAAGTGTAGCCCGCCACCTGTTTTCCATAGCTTCAATCTTACAACCGATTACACTTGTTTCACTGTAAAAAATTTTACCTATAAATTGCAAAACATTTTGTAAACATGTTGGACTCAAAAGAATAAAACAAATTTTCTTGCTTTGCAAAAATATACGTCCAAATTAATATATTTAAATGTAGACGAATTTAAATGTAAGACATTAAATGGAATTTCAAGATGATTATGATCGTATTATACATCAAAATTAAATATAATTAATTAATATATAATATAACTAAATAATTAATTAATTAATATATAATATAAAGCCAATTAGTCCAGTAAGAACTTAAAACTTCGCCTATATATAGAAATGTATACGACGCTTGCGCATACAATTAAAAAAATATATCCATAACTAAAGAAAATCGCCAAAAACAAGAAAGTCGCGCTGCAACTCGAACCAGCGCTTTTACTTTTGCCTTCCTCTCCAACTTCTGATAATTAAACTTCATTTGAAGAATAAGTGAGACGCTTAATTTAATGAATGTAATTTTTAATTTAATTTTAATTTTAGTTAATTTTATAATTTTTAAAGCAAAAACTTTTTAAGTTAAATTGAATTTAATTTGCAAAAGCAGTTCTATTTAAAGGAACCTTTCTTGCCGTGCATCCATGTTTCTGGCCTAGGCATTGCATGTGCACTTGATTAATTTGATAAATGCGACTAAGTTGGCGCGTTTTAACACGATTTTAGGCCACAAATTAAGATTAATAAGTTGGCGGCAGGCAACATTGAGACATGGCCACGCAAATGTCTGCCGGCAGCTAGACATGAGCTGATTCATCTGCACTCGAGCATGGGCCATATGTGGTGTAGGCAGCTTTGATTGATCTATGTATAGTACCCCTCTCCCCCCCTCGCCCCTTCACTCGAGGAGTACAATTGCGCGTGTGGGTGCTGGACTCGTCGATGATGTAAGATTCGGTTCTAGAAGCGCATTTGGCTTCCAGAAAACACAAAGCCAACCGAAAATGAACATGTTTCAATTGCGTGCGAGGTCGCGGGCCGCAAACACGCCCACTTTTTAGCCTCAATTTGAACAGCTTTGCTTTATAATACTATCAAAAACCCGCACGTCTGCCCGTCTCTCTGTCATTAAGAGTGCCGGTCGTTGTTGTGCCACGCCCACACAGAAATTGGCTCAACTGTATTTACATAACATAAGGCCGAGAGCTGTTGATTTCACGGTCAAAGAAGTTGCACGCTTTGGCTGCCACAGCCAGTTGGACTTGTTCTTTGGCTGGATGTTAGAGATATGCGCGTGACAGCACGACACAAGCACGAATCTAAAAATACACACACGAATTTTTACCTAGGACACATGCCATATGGATCTTAGAGACAAGAAAGGGCAGTTGCTTTAGATTGTTGATCGATAACTTCCAGCATATCGATAAGTATCGATTTCTAGCCAGATTGATTAATTGGTGTTGGTAAGCGTATTTTATGTTGATTCGTGCTCAGCCCGTGCTTATCCAGCTGCATGGCCCAACACTGGCACGTACGAATTTTTTAATTTATTTTCGCACGGCACGCGCCTAACGCGAATTTCGACAAGCCATTTTCTTGGCATGCAATTGTCGCTCCATAAGTCATTAAAAGTAATCGTTTTGTTGGCCCAACATGCGCCAAATGGGCAACATTAGCACTTAGCATACTTTTTGGGGGCGCAACCTTGTTGCCAGACTGGCCAGGCCAGGGGTAGGGCCAGAGCTGACGTTCAATCGCTTCAGCTAATCGCCAGGAAAGCCAATTGGGGTCGTCATCGCCAAGTATCGATTACACTGCGACGACGTCGCTACCTGATACCAGACCAGGCCAGCCCAGGCTTTCGCGCGTGCTGATAGGCAACACTTTTGGGCGCTGAGTGAAAAGAAGAAGGTCACGTGCTCTGAGCCTACCACAAACTTATACATTTTGTCTTTTTGATATTTTTTTTACGTGACCAAGCAAATCGGCAGGCGAACCAACCCAATTCTCGGCGAGCTCTGTCCCAGAAAATTCGAAACAAACAAATCGTTCACGCGGCAAGTCAAAGTTGGTGCCCCTTTTTATTTATACCCTATACTTATTGAATATAGGTAAATTGTTTGGATTGACTTGAAACTCTCCTTCTACCCCATAATCGATCCTATAGCTGAGCCAATTTGGCTTTGTTTGCCCCTTTCTCAGTGTGAAGCAGCCTTTAAATTTCCTATGCTTAAACATATGCAAGGCAAGTGTTTCATTTTTATTAATAAATTTTTCTATTTCTTCCAAAATCGATAAATATCGATTTTCAACTGCATGGCCTGGCTATTTTCAATTTTAACTACATTTATTTTTGCATATCTCGGCTATTATAAAAGCGAGAGACACCAAATAATAGGAGAAAGCATGTTATGAATATGCATGAATACAGGGTATTTACGCGTCGAGCACTCTCAGCTGAAGCACTCTAGTTGGGCTTTATGGATTTTACGTCATGAATTTGATGTTAATTTAAGCATTTGGCTTATTGGGTTACTAGACATTTTAGCCCATAGCCCCACAACTTTCAATTGATTTCCAAACAAAACAATACAAAAGTCAAATTTGTGTTTTATTTTCATTGTCGTAAATTCCTCAATCCGTGATTCCATAATTAACGTCCGTAGAGACATATATTCTGTGCGCCAAGAACTGCAGCAAAATGATTAAAAATGTGCGAAAGCTGTTGGAAGTTCGAGTTGCATATTAATCCGGAACTCTCTCGTTTTTGCAGGTTGCCTTTCAGGGAAAATTCAAGTACAAGAAGAAGAAGATAACGGGCCCCTGCGCACCGGTACGCATAATACGCACACTCAACATGGCCGGCAGCATCGAGCAGCGCCCCTGGACGCCCACAGTGCGCACGGGCCGCATTGCGGCAGAGACGACCAATCCGGGTCCGGCTATTGTCAAGCTGCCCACGTTGATTGGTGGGTTACGGGGCTGGATTGGTGGGCTATAGAAATAATTGAGGGTCTCTCCTGTTGCAGGCAGCAAAGTGCCGGACTCGAAGAAGAAGGGCGCACCCTCGTATTCGTTTGGCCACAAACTGATCAGCAGGGATGAGACGACGGGTCCCGGACCGGCACAGTACAATGTGGCCGGGATGCGACCGAAGGGCAAGGATCATGCACGCGCAGCCACACTGCAAAGTCGTCCCAAGGAGTTGTCCTTCTTCGTGAATCCCGGACCCGGTGAATACGACGTGATGCCCGCGTCCAAGGCTGTCATCGATGCCACGCCCAAATATACGTTCGGCAAGAAGCCAGCGAGCGCCAAGTACCAGCTGATACCGGGTAAGTCGAGGCGGTCCCCGTTCGAGCAGTGTTCACAGAGTTGTGCTTGGTTGTTTTGGTGTTCCTGTTGGTTGTTTGAATGGTCGTGGGTCGTTGGTCGCGGGTTGCATGCGCATCATTAACGCTAATGGATTACGGAGAGGCATCATCATCAAGCATCAACAAGACATCAGCCATGTCAGGCGGAGACGAGACGCATCCATCACATATTGTATATATATAAGAAATCATTTTGAATATTTGGGTTCCATGAAAGAATCATCCAAGCAGCGCGTAAGTAAACGCTGCATTTAAAATTGAGAGCACCCTCTCTCTCTCTCTCTCTCGCTCGCTTTGTATTGCCTCTCTCTCTCTTTATCTCTCTGTAGTTACTTAGCTGTAGCTGCTTGCTTCTAGTTAGTATAGTTGTCTCTCTCTCTTTTTCTCTTTGTACAGTACTGTTTCTCTCTCTTTCCCTCCTCTCTTTTGTAGCTTAGTTGTACACAGGGTTGCCACATGTGCTACAAATGTACCAAAATTGGTTCTTTATTGTTAAATACTGTTTTTTTTAATTGTTTACAAATATGTTAAAATATATTTGGGCTTATTTTAATTTAAACTATTAGAAAATGGTACATTTAACTTATGCTTCTGGTACAAAGTAATTTGACAGGGTGGCAACCGTGTTTTATTGAGCGCGCTCTCTTTTCTTGTTTGTCTTACGCTCTCGCGCTCTCTTTTGTATCATAGCTCTTAGACACGTAGCTCTCTTGTATGTTTCGTTGTATTTTTATTTCGTATTTGTTCTATGTTCTTTTTTGTGTTTTTTCTCGATTACTTTGATCTTGATTTTAATGGAACGTTTTTCTTCTTTAATAAAACCGACCCACAACACCGACTGACAACGATTTTAGGTCCCAACCATTATCAGGTGGTGCCGCTTGATGTCATTAAGCCGCGTGCGCCTCGTTATTCCTTTCGCATTAAGGTTAACGTTTATCTAGTTAACAATCCAGGTAACACAACTAACTGGCCAAACAGCTTGCAGTTAATCCAGTTAATCCGTCGTACACACATTTCTCTATATTGCATGTGCTCGCTCTCACTTCTGATTCTCTGGTTTCGGGTTTTAGTCTGTTGGGCACTTAACAACACTTTCGTAACTCGTAACTCGTAACTTCTAACCTCATTTAGTTTTTTTGCAGTATAACCCAACACTAGTTGCATTTCCGCATTCTCGTATTGTGTAGTCTAAACAAAAAACAAACGTTACCCGTACCAAATATTTTGTTTTATTAACACTAACAGCGCCAAATAGCTATTCTCCTGAAAAGTACACGCAATCAAGAAAGAATTCGCCACGTTTCACATTTGGTAGACGAACTAAAATCCAACACGATCAGCATACACCAGGTAATATGTTGTTTACCTCCTCCCCCCAGCAGCAGCAATCAGGCACTCGTAGTATTTTAGTTAGAAATCGGATTAGAATTTTACACAGCAAATGCACAGTCCTGGGGTCTGGTAGTAATCTCTTCATATTTATTCCACAGCTCCGGGCGCCTATTCTCCCGAGAAGGTCAACCCCAGCAAGACACCGGAATTTAGTTTTGGCATCAAACATCATGAGTTGCGGCCTGACTATACGCCAGGTTTGTAGCTGCACTTAACAAAACAAAACTTAAGCCTGCTTTCTTCAATGTACGCTCGCCCCATGCTAGTTTGTCCTGCGGATAAACTGCCTGGTAAATAGCATTGTACGCCATTTACCAGCACTGTAGCAAATATGTGTCAAAGAAGAAGAAAAAAAACAGAAACTTGAACACTTGAGCCTGCTTTCTTCAATGTACGCTCGCGATGCTGGTCAGCTAAGCGTCTAGCTAGTTTGTCCTGCAGATAAACTGCCTGGTAAAAATAGCACTGTGCGCTTAACGTGCTAAAGACAAAGAGAAAAAGACACTGGGACACTTGCAATTATATTTCTATTGAAATATAATTGAAAGGAAGTACCCAGTCCCAAAGCATGAAGGCGATGCATAATCTAGTCGTACATTGATTAAAGAAATATAAGTAGTTGCATTCGCTAAGCTCCAATCTGGCACCTTTTTCTGCAGCACCTGGCACTTACAAGCCCGAGCAAGTAGTTCTGGAGCACACGCCCGCTTATAGTTTTGGCCTAAAGACGAAGCACGCACAGCACAATGACTCGCCAGGTGGGCTCTAGACTTAGCTAGCGCGATGCTTAGCCTGATCACGATTTTTTTATTTTCACCAACCTTTTTAGCACCTGGCACATACAGTCCCGAAAAGTCCAAATTGCACACGACACCCGCTTTTAGCATTGCCGGCAAGTCCAATCACGATGTGGTTGATGCCACGCCAGGTGAGTTGCCTCCACAAGCTCCCATTCGATCATATTCCACGCTCTCGGACTAATGCAATATTCCCCCGTCTCTTACAGCGCCCGGCGCATACGAGCCAGAGAAATTCATTTTAAACAAAACGCCTGCCTTCAGTTTTGGCCATCGTGTGCAGGCAACCAAGTCGCAAGATACACCTGCGCCCGGCACCTATCAGCCGGAGAAGATGCGCTTGGACAATGGGCCCGCCTACACGCTATCCGGCCGACATGAACTGAAGTCCGTAAGCCTGACGCCGGCGCCCGGCTCGTATGCCCCGGAGAAATATCGTAGCGATCACACGCCAGCGTTTAGCTTCGCTGGTAAGCATGAGCATCGCATTGATACCTCCACCCCGGCACCAGGCGACTACAGTCCCGAAAAAGTACGGCACGATCACAATCCTGCTTACTCATTTGCCGGACGCCACGACACACTGAAGACGAGCGACACTCCCGCACCAGGCGCCTATGAGACCGAAAAGGTGCGACTAGACCACAATCCCGCCTTCTCCTTTGCCGGCCGCCATGATCTTCAGAAGCCAAGCGATACCCCAGCTCCCGGAGCGTACTCTCCTGAGAAAGTTCGCCAAGATCACAATCCTGCATTCACCATGGCCGGAAAGCACGAAGTGAAGATCACAAATGGCACACCAGCTCCTGGGGATTACTCCCCTGAGAAGACCCGACTCGATCATACTCCCGCCTATACCTTTGGTTGCAAGAATGACCCCAAGGTGGAAAACAATACCCCTGCTCCCGGTGATTACCACCCAGAGAAAGTCAGACAAGATCACAATCCCGCTTTCTCTTTTGCTGGTCGTCATGATCTCCAGAAGCCAAGCGATACCCCAGCTCCTGGAGCTTACTCCCCCGAAAAAGTCCGTCAGGATCATAATCCCTCATTCTCTATGGCTGGAAAGCACAACCAGAAGGTCTCCAATGACACACCAGCCCCTGGAGATTACTCTCCTGAAAAGAGCCGGTTGGATCACACACCTGCCTATACTTTTGGTAGCAAGAATGATCCTAAGATAGAGAGCCATACGCCTGCTCCCGGTGACTATCACCCTGAGAAGGTCAGACAAGACCATAATCCCGCTTTCTCCTTTGCTGGTCGTCACGATCTCCAAAAGCCATCCGATACCCCAGCGCCTGGAGCTTACTCCCCTGAGAATGTTCGCCAAGATCACAATCCCGCATTCTCCATGGCCGGAAAGCACGAAGTGAAGATCACAAATGGCACACCAGCCCCTGGAGACTATTGTCCCGAAAAGGTTCGCTTGGACCATACACCTTCTTATACATTTGGGGGAAAGCATAACCCTAAAATAGAGAGCAATACGCCAGCGCCAGGTGACTACCACCCAGAGAAAGTCAGACAAGACCACAATCCCGCCTTTTCTTTCGCTGGCCGCCATGATCTTCAGAAGCCAAGCGATACCCCAGCTCCTGGAGCTTACTCCCCTGAGAAAGTGCGACAGGATCATAATCCCGCATTCTCGATGGCTGGAAAGCACGATCCAAAGATTTTAAATGGTACGCCAGCTCCTGGTGATTACTCTCCCGAGAAGACCCGATTGGATCACACACCTTCCTTTTCCTTTGCTGGTCGTCACGATCTTCAGAAGCCAAGCGATACCCCAGCTCCTGGAGCTTACTCTCCTGAGAAAGTTCGCCAAGATCACAATCCTGCATTCACCATGGCTGGAAAGCACGAGGTGAAGATCACAAATGGCACGCCAGCTCCTGGGGATTACTCTCCTGAGAAGACCCGACTCGATCATACTCCCGCCTATACCTTTGGTTGCAAGAATGATCCCAAGGTGGAAAACCATACGCCTGCTCCCGGTGACTATCACCCTGAGAAGTTCAGACTAGACCATAATCCCGCCTTTTCATTTGCTGGTCGTCACGAACTTCATAAGCCATCCGATACCCCAGCTCCTGGAGATTACTCCCCTGAAAAAGTCCGACAGGATCATAATCCCGCATTCTCTATGGCTGGAAAGCACGATCCAAAGATATCAAACGGTACCCCAGCTCCTGGGGATTATTCTCCTGAGAAGACCCGATTGGATCACACACCCTCCTTTTCCTTTGCTGGTCGTCACGATCTTCAGAAGCCAAGCGACACCCCTGCTCCTGGAGCGTATTCCCCTGAAAAAGTGCGACAGGATCATAATCCGTCATTTACAATGGCTGGTAAGCATGAGGTTAAGATCACAAATGGCACACCGGCTCCTGGTGATTACTCCCCTGAGAAGTCCCGATTGGATCACATACCTGCTTATACCTTTGGGGGAAGGAATGATCCTAAAGTGGAGAATAATTCGCCCGCTCCTGGTGATTATCATCCGGAGAATGTCAGACTAGATCACATTCCCGCCTTTTCCTTTGCTGGGCGTCACGATCTTCATAAGCCAAGCGATACTCCAGCTCCTGGAGCGTATTCCCCTGAGAAAGTTCGCCAAGATCACAATCCCGCATTCTCTATGGCTGGCAAGCATGAGCTGAAGATCACAAATGGCACGCCGGCACCTGGAGACTATTCGCCGGAGAAGACACGACTGGATCATGCACCCGCTTACACATTTGGTGGCAAATACGACCCCAAGGTGGAGAATCATCATCCAGCGCCGTGCGACTATGCGCCCGAGAAATTCCGGCTTGACCATACACCCGCCTACACAATTACAGGTCGCTCGACCATTGAGCATATCAGCCACACCCCGGCGCCCTGCGACTACAGGCCGGAGAACTGTCAGCCGGATGCGTCGCCGGCCTTCACCTTTGGCATGAGGCTGAATCGGGAGCATGTCAGTGATACACCAGGTAAATTAAGAGCTCTTTATAGGTATTTCTAAATGGTAGTCGCACATTTTTAAAACCAAACGTTCCGTTGCTTTACGTCACGTTACGTTACGTTACATAACGCTTACATTCCAGCACCCACTGCATACGAACCGGAAAAGCACACGCAATACTCTCCGGCCTACACATTCGGCACTAGAACTGAGATCAAGGTCTCCAGCGATGCACCCGGTAAAGAACTATCTATAGCATTTCCCTAGAACCTAGGCTTAAGTCCACTCGCATGTTGCTTACTCCAATTTGTTTGTTGTATGTTTTGTGTCTGCATCTTGTTGCGCCTGCCTGCCTACAGCTCCCGGACACTATCATCCAGAGCAATGCAATCTGGATAGCTCGCCGGCATATAGTTTCGGCCTCAAGACCTTACCAATGCCGCCCATACCAGGTAGGTGCTGCTGCCTGCTTTTCTCTTAAGCTTTTAGCTGGTGCCGGTTATGTGCCATATTGGCGAAGCATGCATTTGAGGCATATGCTTAGACCCTTGCAGAAGGTATACCAGCAGAAGGTGATTCACATAGTCCATCAATATGTTATATTATTCCTATATATTATTTTAGCTCCTTCCGTTCGTCTGTTCTTGATAAAAAGTAGTCTCTCAACTTTGTTGATCCCTTGCCACATATCGAAGAACTATTATATAGCTTCAGTAGGAATTAACGATCGTTAAATAAGTTCTTTTGAATAATGAATAAGGTCTAATGATTATGGTTTTCAAAGGATCTTGACCAAACTCATAATTTATGAGCTTACCAAGGCGACTACATGTCATCAACAAGGGAAAACTATTAAATAATAATATTATGGGTCCCAATTAGTTGTCTGTCAGCGGAATCCAAATTTCATATATACAAACCTGAGTTCTTGTAAAGATATATTGACTCAATATTTTTCAAAAATCGAACCACTGTGTATCCCAACTTTCCAGAAAGTCAATCATAGGCAAATGTATATTTTTGTGCCTATTTTTGCCCCTATTTCTCCCAACTGTAATTACTATATCATATGATCTTATAGAAACAATAATCTCAACGCAATTTCATACAATCTTATAGAAATAATAAGTAAATAGAATTTAAATCTTAAGAATAACTAGGTTTATTCTTAATAAATCGCTTGTTCAACCAATTTTCTATGGGAATATGTTAGATTGGTCTATCGGAAATTGGAACCAGAAAAAATATATATATATTCTAATCGATCTCTTTTTATGCAAAGCTCTCAGTGTAGATGATTATTTTAAAGAATTTGTTTTATTTTTTTCCTATTTTTAAGAAGTCAAATATTAATATATAGTAAACATATATATTCATAAATTTATATATATTCATAAATCTATATATATTCATAAATCTATATATATATATATATATATATATATATATATATATACATATTTCATAAATCTACAAAAATCCGACCACTGTACTATATACTCGTATAGCCGTCATACCAGCAATTCGAACAACCCATATATATCTGCAAGGGTCGTATATCTTCGGCAAGCCGAAGCTAGCTTTTGATTTCTCTTATTGTTTTGTGTGTATTTTCTTTATATCATATTTTCTCTGTATTTCATATATCTGTATTTATGTCCACGCACAACTTTTGCTCACATTCTCCCCGGTGTACTGGCCTCCACAAACCACATACATATGTACATACATATGTATTCATGTATATATACATATACTGTATTCATAAAAAAACTGCACCCATTAGAGCCAAGAGGCGCTTACATTGAAGATCGCATAGTGCAAAGACGTGAAAGACGTTTGGCTAGTCCCGGTAAGCGCGTCATCCGAAACTCTAGACATTTCAAGTACTTGCCTGTAGGATAATTGCAATTTAGTCAGTTGAAATTGATTCGCAACCCTTACGTAAGTCCCTCCAATGGGGGCATAGTTTAACAGTTAGCAGCAGCTTAGACAGAATATGAGTGTAGAATGAGGTGGCTGTTATGCGGATTTGTTGTCTTTTGGATCGTATCTCTGATCGACATCATTGATACCACACGTTGTAAGTTAAGAGTTGATCCATCCTATTTTGGCCTCAATTTCACGGACACATTTCAGACAGTCCAAATGGCGCTTGTTTGGTCAAGAACAAGTACAAACACGAGCGTAGCTGCTCGGGACCACGTCGCAAGTTCTATGTGTTCCATCGCATCATTTTGAACTGCGTCTCGGTGTTTACCAAGTGCAAGCGCTTCCACAAGCACAACGAGTGGCCCTCGCTAAAGAAGTGCCAGTACGAATGCGGCTGGCACATGAAAATCCATTTGCCCAAAAATGGCACCAATAGCACCAACACGACTAATCAAAGCTCAACAGCAGGCACAACAGCAGCAGGAGCAGCCGGAGGCGAAGGTGCCGCTGGCGGAGGCCAAGGTGCCCCGGGAGGAGGCGATGGTGCCCCGGGAGGAGGCGATGGTGCCCCGGGAGGAGGCGATGGTCCCCCGGGAGGAGGCAATGGTGGCCCGGGCGGAGGCGGAGGCGAAGGCGGAGGCGAAGCCGAAGCCGCAAACGCAGAAAATGCAGCTGAATAAGCCAGGTGGACCAAGCGTCCTTCTTTGCTACTTGACAATAATTCATAAATGTCTGTGTGCTTAGATATATATAAATATATAATAAAGAGGGTTGGAACAAAGACAATATAGACACTAACAAATAATTTAGTTGAAAGAAATTATAGAAATATTTACATCGACAGCGCTAGAAAACGTACAACATTTATTTCTTTGCCAGCAAAAGCCAGAGCACTGAATAACACACATCACCCTCACTGAGTAATAAATTGTTTGCTTATATTGTCTTTGGTTAGAACAACCCAACAGTATGATTCAAGGTTCAAGTCATAGGCTGGAGCAACAGGCTCTTATTGGTCAGTTCTTGTAGTCAGCGCTTATTGTTATTGGTTAGGCTGAAAAGAAAGAAGAAAGAAGGTTTCAGCTTATCCAGCTTATCGTAACTAACGTTTTACTTATAGCATAGCCACAATTTTTGGTATATGCCAACTGGGAAACCCCCTCGTTAAGCACTGAAAATTCCAAAGTATTCGAACATGGAATAGAAAAGTTATCAAGGAGTGCAGGCGAGTACTTGAAGCGTTTAATTAGCTTTTAGAGGGCAAGGGCAAATATGCAGATGCGCATCAGCATATGCATATGTATGTGTGTGTATATAGAAACCAAGCAGCACAAATTCGAAATTCGAACCAACTAATTGCAATTTGCACCACAGTACGCAACGCTGTCGACGGCACCAGCTCCTCCTCGACGACAACAACAACAACAACAACCACAACTGAGAAGCGTCTTGTAAATGGCGTTCCATTGCCCGAGCTGGGCAGTCAGCAGGAGCAGGCGACGAGAAGCAGCACCAGGCGCAGCACTAACACTCACACTGAGCTTGCACCCACAACAGCAACCACAAAAACAACAACAACAAAAGTAGTGAGCACCACTTTGGGCAACGATCAGTCCAAGTTGAGCCACAGCACAGTGCACCACACGGCCCAGGTACAGGCACAGTCCAAGGCCGACAATCTGCAGGTAATTGCCGCCGGTCGGGCCGAGGCGAGCACCACCAAGGCGGCGCAGGCGAGCACGCGCCAGGTGGTGCAACCGGATGGCGCGATTGTGACCAGCGGCCAGGCGATCAGGTCGAGTACCGTCAAGTACGCTGTGGAGGCGAGCAGCGTGCAGGAGAAGATAATCAGGTAATCCTTCCGGAGATTCACTTTACTCAACAACTTGCCGCCTTTTGTGTGTGTGTGTGTGTGTTTTTTACAGCTCCATCAAGAACGCAGCTCTCATCTATTAACCCAGCCATTCAGACACCAGCGAACAACAACCTGTCAAGCCATATAACCTACATAATATACTCTGTAATTTATAAAATATTTTGTTTGCTTGCGACAGCTCCTAATGTCTACAAGATACCCACTGTCTTGGGCAGCAGCAAGGAGGGTCCCATACGTTCAGCGCCCGCTTTTACCATGACCGGACGCATGCACCAGTCGCTGATACCCGCACTGGTGCTGCCCGGTCCAGGGTATTACGATGGCGAATACACGGCCACCAAGTCCAAGCCGCCCGTCTACACCATGCGCGGCAAATACAAGATGATCACGGACGACAACAAGCCCGGTCCAGGCGCACACTGTCCCGAAAAGGTAGGCCCCCCGATCTCTAGAGATCTTCTATATACTATAGCTAACTACGACCTGCCTTAGTATTGGGAGAAACGTTCCACGCCGTCCATATCCTTTGGCATTATGCACTCGCCGTTCTGCGGCCGCCAGGGTCAATATATATTACCAGATCGGTATACGCGCTGCCTGCTGGCAAATCGGCCCGATAGGATTTATCCCTAGTTTTCCATTCAAATTTGAGCGTTTTAGCAAAAGCATAAAAAAAAACAAAATGAAAACCAACTAAATATGATTTTTGCCTCGGCTTTTCTTGTTCTCGCTATCCTCCATCCGCAGGTCAACCTCTCCCACATGCCCTCCTACAGCTTCGGCATCAAGCACTCGCCCTATCTGGGTCGCTTGAAGGAGCAGGACATTGATTGCGACTATGGCTTCTCGGGCATCTGCTGAACTCCTGGACTCCCAACTCGCCCTGCTCAAGATGGTCTCACCCTAAAAAAAACTAAAATACAAATTACAAAACAGCTTCCACACTTTCAGTTGCAGCTCAAACTCAACTTTTTGTGACTAGAGCCTAGACTAACGTTAAGATATTTGATATTTTTCTGAATTCTATATTATAAGCTAAAGTGTTGTAAAATGTTTAAATATATATACGGTATTACTAACAAACGGTGTGTTCTTTTATAAATTCCGAATTTGGGATAGCAGGTGGATTAAACACGTCTTGAATCATTTTTAGCACAGATCTTTGACAACTAATTTGGATTCGATCAGTTGAAAAGCCACAAAGTGTGACATAATAACAGCTTTACACCCATATTCCACGCTTGGGAGTGAAAAACCTTGTGGATACTTTAACTCTTGATTCTTGTGCACTCCATTACCAATATGTTTATTAAAACAAAATATACAGCTAATTTGCAAGACTCATAATATAATATCAGATCAATGAAGATCTCGGCCAAAGCAGCGTCTACTTCTTGACTATTTCGACTTCGGCATGGAAACAGGACTTGCCCTGGATAGAAAAAAAAAGGCAGATCGTAAGTAAGGAGATATTGAATTGTAGTTCAAAGCGACTCACAGTATCGTGCTTGATTTCACTGTCGATAATCAGATGACCGCGAGCCATGCCCAGCATGGCCTTGTACTTGGACAGATCGACGGTGTGATCGTTGGCGCAGATCTTCTCCTCGGCCACGGGGCAGCTTGATGGGGCGCCAAATACCTTGAGCATGTCCTTCGCCTCGGCAGACACCTGATCGACGGCGGCGCACAGATCGAGTTTGCCCTCCTTCATGACGATGCCGTCCTTTTGGACCTTGTACTTGGCCACGGCCGTGCCGAACGCCTTGTTGCTGAAGCAGCCCGTCGGCACCAGCTCGCACTTCTTGTTCAGCTTGACGCCGAAGCCTTCGTCCACCTGGATGATGCCCTCCTCTCCGGCACAGTTCTCCATTTTGACAATCTTCGCCTTGTAGCCATTCTGTGGATGTTCAGGAATTGGGATTATTTGTCGCAAAATAATAGATCTCCAATTAATCCTCGACTTACACAGGCCAAAGCCACGTCAAAGGCCACACAGCTGAGCAGCAGGAGCACAAAATTCGGCAACATTTTCGCTATGGATTTGATCGGTTTGGCTTTTATGCTAGCCCTATTTATATGGCCTCCAAATTGGAGCTTGGAGCCCAATTATAGGCACATTAAACGGTGTCTGCCTCCGGCGATCGCTGATCGTTCAGCTCAATTGCAGTCGGACGGGCCATTAACTCGGTCTATATATACGTACTAACTCCCATTTTTAATTGGTTATTCTTTTTGTTGTACATTAGTCGAGCGGTATTTGACATGCATGTAGATCAGCCAGATTAGCCCTTCCAAATCCCAAAAACATACAGCTATATGTCGCAGCATCATGCAAGAGGAAGCTTTAAACAGCTGATGCGCTAATTAGTCTGATATATTGATAGCATCTTGTGCTACGGTAATACTTTTTATTTAATTTCAGTTACTTTCATTTACTTTAATATTCATGGGTTTTCAACGTCAAAATCCGCTTGGAAATCAAAATATTTCTCAATTTGAAAACCGCGCCAAGATCCGTTAAAAACCATTCCAAGCTGGCTTATTTCAGAATTTAGTACAAATTGAATGGCAATTAATAGACGTGATTCGTACGATCTGATTACGCTCTACCCTTTCAAGATCTGACTTAATTTACCCGTGGTTTATTCATTTGAAATTCAAAATGGATGATTTTTTGAATGCCAATTGATAGTCGGGAACCGTTAGAGTGAAAAGATGTATTCTTTGAAAATTCAACCAATTAATTTAAATATCAACGTGCCTTTGATTCAAATTTTTGAAAACGTAACGTGTCAAATGGCAGCATGCTGCAAAGCTGATTGCTACTGCACTTAGCGAGCACACTGCATCATTTAGTACATGTTGCACAGATCTGGCAACGCTGCGCACAAGCTTGCCGCAGTGTGTCGCGCGTTTAACATTAACATATAACGCTTAACATTTAGTTCAGTTTAACGACTCGCGCCGTGCAGACGTTACGAACGCTCGAGTGCGCGCCCAAAACGGCCAAACGCGGCTTTTGCGATTCCATTCAAAGAGTGCAAAGCACAAAAAATATTGCGATTCAATAACAAACAAAAACGAAAAATAAAACAAAAACGGCAAAAAATAAAAACACAACTATTTGCTGACAAAACAGTAAATAATTAAATTGTTGTGAGGCTTTTCAATTTGTTTTAAATAAAATTAAACGTAAGCGTTAAATAAGTGCAAAAATTATTAAAAAATATATTTTGAAAAAAATAATGCCAAAATCAAGTGGGATAAAAGTGCTCATTTATCAAAAGGTGCTAATGCGTGGCCTTAAATGAATATACGATAAAAAAAAATTTAAAACTGTGTGGCTAGAACTTTGTGCAAAAATATAAAAAAAACAGATAAAGCTAGACAGCGGTAGAGAGAGAGAGAGAGAGTGTGTGTGTGTGTGTGAGAGAGAGAGGCAGAGCTGGAGAGCTACAGGTGGTGACAAAGCATTAAAATACGAAAGCAAATTTTCTGTTATATCAATTCAAATGCAAACTCAATACAAATAACTTTAGAGTGTGTGCACATGTGTGCGTGTGTGCGTGTGTGCATGTGTGTGTGACGTCTCTATTGACAGCGCTCAATGTCGCATTTTTTAATCTAGCTGCATTTTTTTTGGTGCGCCCAGGGATACACATACACACATGCACACATACTTTTATTGTGTTTGGCTATAAGAGCCGCTATCAGTGACCTCTCTGGCTGTGTGCGTGTCGTATTGTTATCAAATTAATTTTCATTGATAAGTGTCTTTAAAACTTAGCTGTCTGTGTGTGGGTGCGTGCGTGTGTGTGTGTTCGTGCTTATATGTGTGGGCATTGAGGCATTCCAGCGAAACGAGAGAACAAACACGGCCCGGCCAGGTAACCAGGCCGTGATTCATCGCTGTCGTGACTGTAAATGTGTTGGTGTTGTCGTTGTTGTTGTTGTTATTGTGGTTAACTGTAGACTGCGTAAGCAGCTGACTATGACAGTCGCTGGCCTGGCTTAATCATCGCTAGCATCTCCCATTTGTATCTCACAGATACTCTCCGGTTTTGTATCTAATTACCAAAAATGACGTCTGCGCCTTTGACTTGCAGTTGCAGCTGCCAAATGAAGAAGAAGCTAAAGAAATGAAATAAAAATAAAACATTAATATTTATACTAAAAATGCCGACAAGTAAATGCCCTATCATGTAACCTAAAAGATTTATTTCTAGAATAAGTTTTCAAGGAAACACCAAATTTCTGAAATGTTGATGATATGAGAGGAACATAGGGACTCTCTTTCACATTGTAAACAGAGCATAAAAGCAGTTAACATTAAAAGCGAAGAAGTCGAAGAAATAAAGATTGATGAATCAAATCAAAAATTTTCAAATGGTTGTGTTAAATTATGAAATTCAATCTAATTGTAAAAATGATTCATATTTAAAAAAAAAAAAGAAGAAGGAATGCAAAGCTCTACGAAAAGGAACAGTAGAATTGTCTGTTAGGCACTTAGTAAAGATGTTTTAAATATTTCTGATATTTAATATAAACAATTCAATTGATCAATAATAAATAGACTTTGTGACAAAGTCTAAATACCCGCTGTTAGGGTATGAACAAAAGACTGTTCTTACGCTCACGTTTTTCATTGTTTTTGGTGTGTTTTTTGGTGTGTTTTTTTGGCAGACAACTTTTGGAAACAACTTTCTTAAACCGGTTGGGAACAAGAACGAGGGCTCCAAAATATAATTTTCGAATGCGCTGTTATCAACTGGCCCGAGTTCATTTCAGAAAGACAAACAAATGTTTATTGATCCCTAAATGAGTCAGGCTGTGCACCCAGCGGATATAAAGATACTGATACTAGGCACATGATTGCCTCAAAGATAAAAAGATACAGCTAGGCACAAGCTAGAATCAAAGATAAAAGATACAGCTAGGAACAGGCCGGAATCAAAGATAAAAGATACAAAGATACAACCAGGCACAGGCTGGAATCAAATATAAAAAGATACAAAGATATAGCTAGGAACAGGCTGGAATCAAAGATAAAAGATACAGCTAGGAACAGGCTGGAATCAAAGATAAAAGATACAAAGATACAGCTAGGAACAGGCTGGAATCAAAGATAAAAAGATACAAAGATATAGCTAGGAACAGGCTGGAATCAAAGATAAAAGATACAAAGATACAGCTAGGCACAAGATCTGATAAAGCAAAGATAAAAAGATACAAAGATACAACCGGGTACAGGCTGGAATCAAAGATACTTGCACACACAGAAATTGTATCTGTTTGGCAATTGGGTCAGCTGCTCAATT